TTACAGCTCACAGTATGTATGTTTTTGATAATAAATAAAGTAAATTCACAAGTTCCCAGTACAAACAGGTTCACAGCTATAATATTATATTGTTGTATGTATATGTTGTCTTTTTCACAGCATGTAGACTAACATTCCACGTACCTATAAGATTAGAATTAGAAATTTTGGAAATGAAAATGAAATGACAACTTTTCGATATTGTTGGATGCGTTCATAAATATTTATTTTATTCAAATGTAAATTGAGTTCAAATTATCAACCAAGTACGACCGGTTGTTTTTGCGTCCACCAACAGTAAAAAATTAAAAAACTGCGGTATTTGACCCAGCCAGTTTGGGAATTTTATCGCTAGTTCTTGAATCAGATGAATCAGTCCGATTCGAGAAGTTTTTGGATCAATTCAGTGAATCGATGCTCGGAATCGATCTAAAAGATCGATTATTTTACGCCAAAGAATCGATTTTTCAATTAATCGATTTAAGATCGACATGCCTATCCGTAGCTACATATTTATACATTTGTAGTCGATGGGTGCGTTTGGCAGAAAAAAGCGCTAGCAAGCGCTTATAAGCGCTAAAATAGTTTTCGGTCAGGACATGATTGCTACTTCAGTAGCGCTGACACAATCCGCCATTTTGCTTATTTCATTTGTTTGTTTTGAAGTAGAGTTTATAAGTTGTTTTGTGCGATATTAGTTTTAAGTAATATAATGACATGAATAAACATATACATGCTATTAAAAATTCATGATTGGTAAGTTTTTAATATGAATACTTTACAAACATATATTTAAATTAGGTTAGATTCCCCGGTTAAAACTAACATCCTGGAGTGTCCTGGAGGAAAATAGCTACTTACGATTTGATAGCGCTTACCGCTTACGATCGCCATTTTGCTTACAAGCGCTTGCTAGCGCTTTTTTCTGCCAAACGCACCCATTAGCTATCAACATCGATTTTTGAGGGCCATAGACATAAGGCTAGGAATATTTGTATAGAGATTACAAGATTATAATATATATATATATATATAGCTTGCACAGAACACTATTACATAGCTTGTCTAAACTTAAATGACGCGCCCCACTACTTAATTAGTTGATTTCGATGAGTGTAAATATTAATAACGACGCTTCATCTGTGTTTGAGCGTCGACTGCTCCGCGAACTATGAGTATGATCTGTATGCCTACGTGACGGTCGACTAGTCGCGTGATAAATCCGACAACGCTCTCCTTAGGGAGCAGCGTTGGGGCATTGTATGAAACAAAACGTCCGCTCTCTGCCACCTTCAGGCAATTATGACAAGTTGGACAAAAAATCCATTTTACAATCGAACGACGCGTGCTCCTACGCTTGAGTCTCACCGACAACCGAATGACCAATTACAATTACAATGGCATTTGTATATATATTGCGTCCATATTTTAAATTTGCTTGTGTGCGTTAATGCGATAGTGGGGCGCGTCATTTCTGCTTAGACGATCTATACCACCCGTGGCCCTGCCCACCAAAGAGTATAGTAATATATACCATATCTCTAGTATATAGTCAGTAATCTATGATAGCGGTGGGTAGTAGCGGCTTCTTTGAGTAACGAAACGAATCTATCTATCGAATATCAATAGCGGCTTTTGAAACACTCTATTTTAATAGAGGGTTTGGAAACATTCTATTTTAATAGCGGCTTCAATAGAGTGTTTCACGACGTGTTCAATTGCAAAACGTTGCGACCGTTGTTACCGTTTCGTATAGAATTAGACATGGTGTTAATGGTTAAATTTATTTATTTGTTAAATCAGTTCGCACGGTTTGATAAAAATATCACTTCGAAGTACACTGGCATTACTTCGAGACATTTTTGATAACAATCACATAAAGTTTTAGTATTATTTTTACACTTAGTTATTTACACTAATTACTGTACAATTATTATTATCAACACTAATATATACAATGATATTTAGTTTTTATTTTACTAAAAATATTATTATTGTTGCACAAAAAGGAAACAAACGCGCCTAAAAAAGTAAAAACAAACCGTGTCATTAAACTTAAACAAAAGACTAATGTAAACCGGGCCAAGGCCACTTAAATTATGGTATTTGAACTATTTTTTGTTAAAAACATGTACACTTACTTTCTCATTTCTAATATCGCATCTATACGAAGGAAATAGAGTCATAGGTCAAATGCAAAAGCACACGCGCTCACTCGACTTTCGACAACCGGTGGTACTTCTACCACAGCGTAAAAAGTCGGTTTTTTTACTCATGTGCTTCTACTTCAACAGCCGAAGACGTCGCCGACGCGTCGCGAAAATAGCCGAATAAACGTTTTGTTAGTGATCGCTCGTTCGTGATTCGTGAAACGTGAATCGTGTTACTGAGTAAAACGTCTACTGTAATAGATAGTTTCGTTGCACTGCAATAACCCGCTACTCGCTATTGTGTGAATAGATAGTTTCAGTAACTAGTTACGTTTCGTAACGACCACTCCTAATCTATGATATATACGGATTACGGAAGTGCTGCCCACGTCTACTGCAATGCAATATTCTGCATGTCTGATGTCTGCATTTTATATTTGTAAAAATTCCGGTTTATTGATAAAAAAGTGAATTTAACTATATTAAAGCTATAGGAAACAGGAATGGCTTTTAGTGAAGTTTGTAGAATTTGTTTACGCGTTAATGTACGCTTATGTGTATTGAAGAAGACTAGTCTCCGGAACTTGTACAAAATATTGATGAACTGTTTGGTAAGTTGTTAACATTTTTTAATATTGCAAATTGGAATTGCGGTAATTTGTTGTTGTCGACGGAGAAATCATAACTTATTTCTCCGTCGTTTTATTATAACTTCCCTGATATAAAATGCGATAGATCAGAGCTACGCTAAGGTGCAAGGTTAAATATAGTGCTACCAGACAAATGCAACCAGAACCTGAAAAACAACAATTAGCCTGAAATCCTACTATGTACTAGAAGAGATACCGAGACTTAAATGGTTTGCAACACGTTAGAGCCCGCGGGTCCATTATGAGGAAAATGCCACTGCCCTTCTTACTGCAGTTGTACTGCAATTATAGTGCAGTCCTTATGAGATTAAATAATCTCATTGTTAGTCGACCGAACCCACCTCAAACTCACTTCATACTCCAATTGACATTAAATTAAAAAGGTTAAAACTGCTAGGCGATGTGTATTGTTATTAACCTCCATTTGAAACAAAGTGACAGTTGTCTAATAGAAGGATGTGGAGCTTAAACTCAAGAAAGTAGTAAGTTCAGATCTGCTATTTGATAATTGTAAATGACTCCTAGTTACGTGTGGCTAAGATGGATTAATTTTGGAGCAGGCCCCGTTCTGTATTAGTGACGCTGACGTCGCTGCGTATTCCTGATCTTAGCCTTGAAGCCGTTAATAAGTTCAATTAAACTCAATTTGCATTGTTAACACGATGAGGGACGGTAATGACTTTTTCAAATTATGCGTATGGCAGTAAAATTGCCCATACAAGTTACGACCACTGCTATATCAGTAGCGTTCTAAAGCAATACTAAAGAATAATAAACATAGACAGTACTGTCACAGCCGTAAGCCGGCTACAGCCGTAGTGTTAATTATTATGCATGCCTGGCATGTTACAATTACACTACGGTTATTACCGTAATCTGCTATAGCCGTACCATATTTTATAAATATTTGACGGGTTCAAAATGTGATGCTATGGATATTGCTGTATATAAATGTTATTTTCAAAATAAAACCAAAATATATAAGAAAACTTATAATTTATTGTATCACATAATGAAATACTCGGAAACAGTCATTTTTCACGGAAATTATCCCTATTATATATAAAACTATAGCATAAAAACAAAAGTACAATAATTCAGTAACAAAACACCAATTCTAAGGAAACCTCTAGTCAGCCTCTAAGTAAATAGATAATAATTTACCTAAAACTTAGTCTTCCTGCTGATTACTTGCATGCAAAATGTGCCAATCTTCGAAACATTCCAGGCACAAAGGTGTTCTTTTCACACATCCCTTGCAGATGTATTTAGTTTCTTTTCGTTATTTATTTTAGTGCATAATTTGCAATTCAAAAATTTGAATTTTCTTTTACTGCCATCAGAGTTCGTTGGAATTGGCATCACGACTGGCCAGTGACCTTTCATTACTGTGACGCTACATTCTTCCATAACATTTTGCCTAAATCTTCGGCTGTTGTACACACTATCTTTTCTTACCACATCTGGACTCTTTACATTATCAGAAATTTGACACATTTCTTTTATCAATTGATCTCTGAACTTAATGGACTTATATTTACCATTCTTTTTCACATATTTTTTATACAAATAATATGCGTTCTAGACAGCTACGTCGAGGCAATGAAAAGTAACCCTTTTATAACATCTTAGACTTTAACGAGGGGATGAATAATATGAGATCATCTGATCGACTCTATCTACCCTCCCCCCATAAAATAGTTGTAAGCAGCTACTTCAGCGGGTTTAGTTGCTACTTTGCCATATCGGTTTGACACTTGTGCTAGCTTTGGGTGATCCCGGGTAGAAATTGTAAAAACCGGTCTTTTATCTCTCCACATTGAAACATAAATTTGGCTTTTGCGAAACCATGATGACCTTTGAACAAATATGGTTCCAACAGTTTCAGCACAATATTTTGAGTTTTCTTTCCTGTTTCTAAGTTATCTTTACCATGGTACATCATCATATCAAGGACATAACCGTCAGTAGTTGAGAGGACATAGAATTTTATACCATACCTTGCTTTTTTGATTTTATGTATTGTCTAAAGTATATTCTACCCCGAAATAGAATAAGAGATTCGTCTATGGACAATTTTCTTAAACATGTTAATACTAATGTAATTTTAAATGGGGAGGAGCTGAGTCTTGATGCACCAGGCTGTTCCACCTCCAAAGACTGAAGAAAAACATCCATGTCGTTAGGCAGCAAATTATCACTAGCTGTTTGTGCACCAGGCTGTTCCACCCTCCGAAGACTGAAGAAAAACATCCATGTCGTTAGGCAGCAAATTATCACTAGCTGTTTGTGCACCAGGCTGTTCCACCTCCGAAGACTGAACAAAAACATCCATGTCGTTAGGCAGCAAATTATCACTAGCTGTTTGTGCACTAGGCTCTTCCAACTCCGAAGACTGAAGAAAAATATCCATGTCGTTAGGCAGCAAATTATCACTAGCTGTTTGTGCAACAGGCTGTTCCACCTCCGGATACTGAAGTGCTGTATTAACTGCAGTTATATCTTCTTGAGTTAGCAGAGATGGACTTACCGGTGCATTACTGTCGTTGCTAGCCAAAGAATAAGAAAGATGGCTGCTGAGATTCCATTGAACCCGATTTCATCCTCGGAAGATTCTGACTGAGCAGATGGACAATAATCTTCGTCAGAACCATGCTTTCCCTCGTGATCATGGTACGGGTCTGCAATATCACTGGTTTCCGGCGTTGATACATCTTCCAGAAGATGACTGATGCGATCTGTATCCATCTAAAACAAAATATGATCATTCATGTTACACATCCGTATAGGCACCTTTGCAATAGATTTATCAGTTTACACATTCTTGTTTGCTAGTCTCAGTGATCTAACAAACCGTTTTTAGTACAAATAACAATCAAAATACTCACGTTAGTTCATAAATTTAGGCAAGAAAAAATGGCGCGAAAATCGACGAACACACCGTTCCCAATTGGCGCGTGGCGCGACACTACTCAAACCGTTGCATAGAATCTTTATAAAATATAGACTAACCACGGGTATGACCGTAGTGTGCGGGCGTGGGTACCCTAGAAAACGCACACGCGCTTGTATTTTCAATGTTTGATTTTATGAGTTCTAATGCGTCTGAACAAATGAGAAATTGATGTGATACGACAGTAAAAACGGTTTTCCTTGTTCCTCTATACGAAACTTCACTGCGCTTACCGTACGTTAGTCCGAAAGAATTAAAACTTTTATGGTGATGCCTACTGTCATTTTCAATCATCGAAAAGTCTACTGCTAATGCAGTGCGTCCTGCATTGTGTTATCCTAGTCTAGTCATATCTTCTATTTATTTGTTTATTTTATTTTTGTGTTCACTTGGTTTAACTTTACATTGATAAAAGCTTATGTTATTGTTATATATCATAGATTGTGATAAATCGTTATGAATGTGGGGCGAAATAAGTTAAGAAATAATGTTAGTTAAATAAACCAGTTTGTCATTAGTTTTGCTACCAAGCACAATACACATATTGACCTAAATTGCAGTGTTCTATTGGATCTAACAGTTAACGTGACATAAGACTGCTGCTTTGTAATAGTTTTGTACTATGCCACCTTCATTATTGTGTTATTATTTATGATCCAAGCCTATTTAAAAAAAATTGAGAAGAATGTAAAGAAAGTTTAGAATGCATGTATCTGTTTTTGTTTTAATATACTGAAAAGGGTTAGGATTTCACCTTATTTAGTCAGTAATGGCATTTTAAATATATTCAATAGTACCAAGTTAAAATATGCCTGCTTTCTGCACACTGCATCACGCAGTCTCCAAGATATTTGTATGATAAGATAACTGTCGAAAAAAAAAAGTTTGCATTCAGTCGGAGAAAATTGTCATAGGCTTCCTCTAGGATTAGAATCGCTGGAGCCAGGGGATGTTTTAAATTTGCTGCTGCTAAAATTTGGAATGACTTGCCACCACCAGTCGGGTCTACCCTATTTCCGTCTACCTTCTGATAAAGATGCCCCAAGTGGCTTATTAAAAAACAGTTCCTGGCTCTATGTGGCTCTGATACCCCTTCAAATTAGATAACATTTTTTTATGTATTTTAGCAACTATAATTTATTAATTGTTTTATTTTTATTTATTTATCGTTGATATGTGTGATTCATCAATTGCCTAAGACCCTGTATGAATTATGCGCAAAGGCTGTGGCAGAATAGCAGGAGTAATGGGTTTCCTGTTACAACTGAATCACAGACCGTTTTGTCACAACTAATTATTGAGCTGCATATTTAAATTTTAACATTGTATTTTTTATGTCAAATAAACCTTTTTATTTTTTTATTTATGAAGCATTACATCTTAATACTCAGGGTAACATCGCATCTGTAGTCTTTGCTTGAAGTTTGTTGTTGTTTGTTTGTTTGGTGCTTATGGGCTGTGGTAGCCACTTACCATCGGGTGTATTGTAAGTTTATTTGTTACTTCAATGTTAAAACAAAATGATGTTGAAGAAGAGAGTTGTGGTGGCCAGTATATTTTATTACAAAATTGTATATTTAAATAGTTTTCCATATTTATGACAAACTTTCATATTTTCAGGTGGATGAAGATGAGGAGCCCATAATTGTCTGTCTCATCTGTCATGCAAGACTCATTCGATGCAGAATGTTACAACAACAGGCTATTGAGTCAAATGCAGTTCTGGTGCAGTTGCATGCAGGAGGTTCCATGGTATTATCCATTCCATCCATTAAAATCTATAAAAGTCTGTCACAGATTACTTAATAGGAGGGATTTTGCCAAATTTGCCATGCTTGGCAGGTCAGGAATGCAGTATATATTAGTCTTAGTTTTTATCAGGAAGATGCTGTTGCCCAACTCTTGTTTCTGTTGTCCTCTGTTGCCTCTTACGATATCCGTCCCGTGGGTAGGTATATAGGGTAGTGGATATCCTTAAACCATCACTACAATTCCTGCGGAATAATACTTTTCTGATGAATAAAAGTTCACTGCTTGATGGGTCGTTCCCATTTTAATGAAATATTTGCGTTAATTATCACTTGGCAGGCATCTTAATGATCACAAATCTATACCAGCTATCACAAATCATGTGTCATACTATACTACACGTTATTTTAATATAGTAGAACGGTATATTTCTGTATTTGTTCAAGGAGTCTCTAGTAACACCTGTTCATAAGAGTGAAGATGACAAGGATATCAACAACTACAGACCAATTTCGATAAAAAGCTATAGATATTCAAGAGCTATAGAAAAACTTAGAGAAACTTAAAGAGGCTCATAATTTTCCGCACTAAGTTTCACATCTTATAAAGTTTGGCTTTCAAGCAGGAAATTCGACTGAAGATGCTGTAGAAGCCCTTACATCTGTAGTTGTTGATAGTTTTTATAAAATTCATATTGCCTCGCGGTGTTTCTTGATCTTAAAAAGGCATTTGACATGATGTACCTCCATTCTGTTAGAGTTAGAAAATTGTGGGATTCGAGATGTGCTCAAGGAGAATATTACACACACACTACACATACACACACTACACGTTCACTACACACACGCACACGCACACGCACACACGCACACGCACACACGCACACACGCACACGCACACGCACACGCGCACACGCACACGCGCACACGCACACGCGCACCGCACACGCACACGCGCACACGCGCACACGCGCACACGCGCACCGCACGCGCACACGCACACACGCACACGCACACGCACACGCGCACACGCACACGCGCACACACACACACGCACACGCAAACACGCACACGCGCACACGCACACGCACACACGCACACGCGCACACGCACACGCGCACGCGCACACGCGCACGCGCACACGCACACGCACACACACACGCACAGCACGCACGCACACGCACACACACACACACACACACACACACGCACACACACACACAATGGAAGAATGAATGAGAAAAAGAATGAATGGAAGAATTGTTGAGTCTCGATTCTAATTAATTTCTAAACTATCTACATTTTTATTTAAATTTATTCGGAACTCACTTTTGTTCGACTTTTGTTATTATTTGAAGTTGTTGTCAGGAAGATGCATCTGTGGGATGGTATGGGGTAGTATGGATTCTTTTACGCCACTACTACACTGGCTTCTCTTATGTATAAAAAGTTTGGTTTCAGTCAATACCAAAACCACATGAGGCTAGAGATGAGATTCAATTCACACCAATTAATCATATAGATATCCGGCCAGTAGAGTGTGATTTAGAAAATAATTGTAAGGGCGACATTTGTAGCCTTGACTCTGTTAAAGTTGAGGAAGAGACAATCAAAAATGAGAATTTCAAATTTGAAGTAAACTGGAGTCATGAAACAGGTAAGATATGTACACATTTTGTGATATTATTAAATTAAGGTACAATTTACCTAATGACAAGTGGTTACTGTAGCCCATGGACACAAAATAAAGAGGACTTCATGTGCAATGTACTGATTTGCCTTTGTCTAAATTCAAATTGCATGTAAAAAGCACTCGCATGGATAAGGAAAATAACAAATTAAATAATTATTTAAAAGATAAGCATACAAGGGACATCATAATGAGCATTGTTAGACATTTTATTTTACCTATGTATAAATATATTTATAAATGTTTTGACCCGGTATAAATGCAGCCAGTATATAACACTAAGATGTATTAACTTCATAGGAATTAATGATATACTTACATCTTTGCCAATTTCTTAACCCATAGGGAGTCTTCCATCCTCCTGTTACCTATTTCTGTCGTCAAACAGCACTGCTGTGTGCCAGTCTGAAGAGCAGGGTATTTTTGAAACGCTCGCAAAATCGAAAATGGACGATAGTATTAAGGATAGCTTTGATGATGAGACAAAAATAAAATCGATCCCGATGCAAATAAAGTAATTTTTTACAATATTTAATTAGCATTATTCACGCTCTGTCATGTTAGTATAGCTAAATGAAACGATAAATTCATAAAAAAAAATCATGAAAATACCTAAACATAAAACCAGCAGTGAAACATAAATACTTGAAATCAGCTGATACATAGGCTGCACTAAAAGTATCGGGAACGGAATATTTCCACTGTTCCTGTCATATTAAAATCTTTATAACTGAAAACTCCTTGTTTTTAAAAATCGAATACCATTTATATATCTAAAAAAAGATTCTCGGTCTTGTCTCAAGGTTTTGTCAAACTTGTTTAGTCGTTGAGAAAATGGAATTGACTCGTGAAAATTTAAGAGCGATGATTTATTATGACTTTCGAAGTGGTTTAACACAAAAACAGTGTGTTGACCGGATGATTTCTGCATTTGGTGATGAAGCCCCATCCAAAACCACAATTTATCGCTGGTTTGCTGAATTTCAACGTGGACGTGTCAAGCTCAGTGGTGATCCCCGTCAAGGTCGTCCAAAAACTGCAGTCGCCCAAGAAAACGTTGATGCTGTGCGTAAGCTGATTGAGGAAGATCGACATGTGACATACCGCGAAATTCAGGCAACTTTAGACATTGGCATGAGTCAAATACAAATAATCTTGCATGAATAATTATGTGTAAAAAAGTTGTTTTCCCGATGGATACCGCATTCGCTCTGTGAAGAGCAAAAAGCGGCTCACGTTACTTGGTGCGTCAGAACTCTCGAAGGATTCCACGCAGGATCCTCAACAACATCGTATCAAGTGACGAATCCTGGATATACGCGTACGAACCCGAAACAAAAAACCAGTCACGAGTTTG